ACGGAGTTCCTGGTGAGTTTAATGAATGTCACTGAGACAAGCTGGCCACCCCATGAGATCACACTTGAGTTTCTTAGATTTGGGAGTGACTGATTTATTGGACTGTTATAAAGACAAGACATATTTCATAAAGCAGCTTGGATAGTTTTCTGATGGCAAACTGAACACATTTTTTAGGCAGAGAGGAGGTTGCCATCATGTTGGCTGGCAAAACATCGAAAGAATGACTGGATGTTGTGATTTTAGTTTCTAAGTAGTGATCTGTACTTAATTGTTTAAGCTGAACTGTGTTTGGGACTGCAGGCCTCTATTAAAAAACTAATTAACATGTGGTTTCAACTTTTTCGAGTTCCCCATTTACCAAGTCTGCACTGGCACACACTGCTTGCATAAAGCTTTCCCCTTCTCCTGCATCAACCAGCAATCAAAATTGAAATAAGCTGCCTTAAACAGATAAAAACGGACCTTTAAAAGAAAAAAAACTTATGTAAAACGCCTCCTGTGTAGACACGCCTTTAGTGGCAATTTTTTCGTTATATATTTATTTAAAGGGGCATTATGTAGTTTCCAGCGGCCACTAGCGGTGCGGTTTTAAAATTGCTACCAGGTGTGTGCTCGTACGCGTGCTCGCTTGAACTCATGAGCGAGTAGAATCCGAAACACAACCACTTTCATACAGAAATCCTGCAGGCTGTGGCTTTTCACTCAGACATGTTCAGGTTCTGTTACTTCAACATTCCCATCTCAGAGGCAGATCGACACCGGCGCCGTACCTTTGATTCAGCGCAGCGAGACACCGGCATATTGGCACAATAACGTTACTCCCGAAAAAAGGCAAAATAAGAGCAGCTATAGACAGGTAGGGAGCCAGCTTCACACAACATGGTGGAAACTCAGTTAAACTCCCACTGCAACGTTACAGTAATATTTTTATCAGCTTGATGTTGAACTAATCCATGCTCGTTACATGATAAAGTTACAGTGACTGCATTGATTTAGCTGACGTGCTACAGCGTTAGCTCGCCTGGTGCTTTCAGTCTTTGCTATCTGTGAATCTGTCACTGGAGGCTCAGCAATTTCAGCACAGCTACATGTACTGGATGATAATGAAACGGTTAGTGAGCTGGACTGAATATTATAACGAGATTGTGTCACACTTTATAACAGTTAGACCGCAGTAGGTAAATTTACTGTAGTGTTAGTGGATGGCTCTTCCACTGGGTTGTATATTATGTGGGTCATGTTAGTTACAGCGACTGAGAGGTGGAGAAGCTGTGTATCGGTAAAAGGCAATAAATCTAAATTGAACGTTTTGAAGCAAACACCAGCAGGTCAGGGTTAATGTAGCGTTAGCTGGCTGCTTGTGGTTGCATTACAATAGGATGACATCACATAGACCATTATAGTTGTTTTGTATCCTTATGTTGAGCCTGTGTTTTGCTGTGAGCCGGTTGTTTTGTGGTGTTAGTGGACTGCATCTCGTTAGCTGCCGTGTGGTCGCTGTAGTCTGAGAGAGGCTCGGGAGCACGCACAGGGCTGAATCCGACCCGGAGACCTCACATTAAAAGCAGAATAGTGGCTGATGCGAGCAACGGAGAAAACAGGCGTGTGCTTCATTTCTGAGTGAGTTTTGAGCCCATTGACAATAAGGCAATGAAAATTAGATTTATTAAAGTCAAAAACTTACATATAGCCCGTTTAAGTACTTTAATTTTGTCATATTAATTTCTGCTACTGTCATGATTCAACATACAAGTGAGTTAGAAGATTTTTTGTGATTTACTGGAAAAAAAATACACATGTAGAATAAACAAAATTATCAAAGTGAGTAAAGTAAAACACTATTATTTCATAAGTTATGAGCTTTATGTACCTTCATACCTTTCTTTACTTCCACTAAATACCATTGTTAGCGTGCCCTGTACACTTGTGGCCTATAAGGAAAAAAACCTTCACTGATATATTTAAAGCCCAGGCCATGTACATGAACTAAGTCAAGGATGTGATTTTGCATTGATCACAGTTTCCCAAACCTGTCTCGATACACTGCGATGATGTTTTAATACAATCTGTCTTTATTTAATTTTTTAACAATATTTTTGAGGATTAATTGTTCACTTAAATGTGGTATGACGTTTCAGAGGCTAGGAAAAATGATTACTTTATAATGAAAAATATAGTATAAACAATGGCCCCTGACAACTTCTATACAAATATAAAAGGTATCATAGTGTGAAAAAATTTGAAAAAAGTGGACCCCAAATGTTAAGGTTTAGTCACCAAATCACTGATTCATATTTAACACTATGTTGACTGTCATTCCCTTATCTTAATTTATACGAGCTGTTAGCTTTGCAGAAGTTGTGAGAGTAATTAAACTATATGTAGAAAAAATTCACTACACATCAGCTTTTTGTGGAACTAGCTGGAGCATATGAGGAGCAGCTGCAGGGATGACCCTTGATTGATTTGATGTAGTAGTATACTTGCTGACAGAGTTACCACAGCATAATACTTGTGCCCACAGGAACTTTGAAATGAAAAGCAATGTCCTGGTCTCCTGAGATGCACTATCAGCAAAGACTCAGCAATGCAGGAGGGGTGGGAGACGCATTACAAGATAAACTCATATCGACACTCCTGGCAGAAATCGTCATTTCTATCCCCAAACATTTTTCTCTGTTTGCAAACGGAGCCTCGTGGCTGGCAGGATGTTCTGTTCAGACAGGCCATTTCCAGTTATTTTAAAAGGTGAGGATATCAAATTCCTACTTAGCTAATAGATGTGGCACAAGGGACAAATGTGTTATGAGAGTAAGAAGCATCAGTTGCAGATCAAGTAAAAAATATATCCAATTGATTCTAGTTAATTTTACAAGGTTTGTATAATGTATTAGTGGTGTGGCTATAGATTATGTAGCCTATATATCGCTCGCTACATCATGCTGGGAGCATCTTTTAGATATCCATTTTCTTTGTCTCTGCAGTTTTACCGTCTCTCTGTTCATTTCTTTTCATTCACAGGCTCTACCCTGTAAATTATTACACCTGAACAAACAGAAAACTTCAGTGGGATCTATGATTTATTTTCCTTTCCCTTGGTTTTATTTCATTCTCTTCCTCATGGAAACAACACCGCACGCAGTGCTTTGTACTCTATCATCAGCCCTGTACATGCCAGTCTCCTTTCTGCTTACAAAGAGGCCAGTTCTTTGGATCCTGGAAGCCGTTTTACCCAAAGCTAGACACAGAATCTGGAACGCACAATAAATTATAAATACGCCATAACCTTTCGGTGTGAACCCTGCCTTTCATCAGCCCCCTGTAGTCAGATGGTCCTGGGCAGGCTCAGCCATTGTGAGTTGCCCTGGCTAATTGTTATACATGTTCTTGTCAATCAAGCCTATCCCAAATGGCAACTCCTCAGCCGGCGCTACAGTGAGCTGCCTGAGCTGTAGTAGCCTTAGAGCAGTAATTGCTGTCCACTCGCCAGAAGCCCATCTCCATTCCATTAGCGGCTGTACAATATGAATGGTTGAAGCTGGTTGTTGACTGCAGACCTATTCAAGCTTGTACATGTGATGAATAGCCCCTTTTCTGTGGCATGTGTTTCACTTCCACATGGACAGGGCAAACAGGAGGAGAGGTAATTACATTTGTGATGGCATTGTGTTCGCAGGCAGAGAGGAATACTTCACTTGCATCAAAAAGCAACAGTAAATATTCACAGAGACTGTGAGTGAGGAGCTTCTGTGTGTGAGAGAACTAAAAGAACATCACTGTTACACTATGTCACATAATTCAACAGGGTTGTGCTAACTTTATTTAGCTGCTGTAGCTGAAGTGATCTCCCCCATGAACCTCGTCTAACTCAGGAGCATGGTTTGTTGGGTACATATAAGCAGCTCTACTAAATGACAAACCACTGTGTAACCTTGGGGGAGGCCGTTGGCAGTTGCCACATAATACATAATGCTAAGATATCACTCTATGATAAGTGCAAAACAACTATCAGGTAAAGACATAAAAAGATGATTGTGTCATTATTGTCAATGGCAAAAAACATGCTATTGACGTATGGGGAAAAGCTACTCTGTGGAATAATGAGAGGCTCTGAAATTGTCACCAACAATTGTAAATGTCTCTGGCTTCAATAAAGCACTGCCGCAATCTGTAAACCAAGATCTATTCTCTGGTCTCAGTGCTTTTTCAAAGGCGTCCGACACTTCAGAGGTGTTGTTGAAGCCATCTCGAGATTTTGAAATGGATGTGGGGATGACGTTAAACGAGGGAGTGGGATCTTTCAAGCATTTCTCATTCCAATAAGCTCAAGGAGTGCGTTTAGATTCAGAATGGTTCCACTTGGCTGGAGAGAAACATTTTCTGAATTTAAACGCTAACCAATTCTTCAGCAGGCCCTTCGCTCACATGAAGCGTTAAATTCAACTCAAAGCAGCAGCAAAAGAGATTTACATTTTCCGTATACAGGTTTTAGAGCCTTTGGTTTGGCTGAAGATTTGCATTAAGGGGATTTTTTTCTCCTGCACTTCCATCTAAGAAACTTTGCAAAGTTTAATCATGGCTTCTGTTGACGCCCCTGGGTTTTGCATCTTAAGCTGTAGCCCTCTGGCTGGGAAACATAAGAAAACTTCATCATAAGCTGTTCTAAAGTCTGAATATAGATTTCACAAATCATTTCCGACCAGGACTGTACATCTAAATATTACCCCCTCAAATATTGGATTTGTAATTGTGGCTTTTTGTGTGGCCTTCCTGGTGTACATCTGCACACTAAAACTCCTCCAGATTTGAAGGGATGGCTCATTAAAAACAACTTTTCTTACAGCAATTCTGTGAGGAATTTCATCTTCTGCTTAACAAAGTGGCTTTTAACTCAGTTTAAAAAAGAATAAAGTCTATATTTCAAGTTATTTATCAGAGTCTCCTTCCAGTGTGAATCCATTCCAACAGCAGCATCAGTAATAATGTATGGTCCTTACCCGCATGCCGAGCTCGATGTTCTCGCCTCCATAGACCTCCATGCCAGGATCCAGCAGACCAATGTCACCAAAGTATTCCCGATCAACCACAAAGGAGCAGCCAATCATAGCTGGAGTTCTGGATGAGCACAGAGAGACAGCATCTATTGAATTATTATTATCTAACCACTAAACCTGTATACACAGAGAGAGAATATTAAAATATTCAATGCAATTACCGGTTCCAGTGTTTTCATAGTAAAGTTAGCGTACAGTCTAGAGACTGATCAACTGAATGTAAATGTCCAGGTATGAAACAGTTTTGGTTTTTCCTTCCTGATTTAGAAACTTGCAAGAGCATGTTCATGCGCGGAGAATTGGGATTTTATGGTAAAATGAACATTAAAAAATATATTTTACCACTGGAGATAAAATTAACTGTGGTTAATGCATGTGTGCAGCATAGAGAGACTCTTGTTTGTTTCAACTCCACAGTCTCATATGTGATTAAGATGCAGTATATCCGATTCTGCAGGGCAACGAGATGATGGGCAGGAAGCGTAAAGTGGCTTTATCAGAGCTTTTTGCTGAAAACAGCTGCCTGCTGCTGCTGGAAATGAGGTTGGTGAGAGTGAACCAAAACAGTAAAGTGAAACCAAAGAATGGAAATATGCAAATAATGCTCTGGATCTCTGAGGGGAACTGCAGAGTCGTGGGATTATTCTCTGTGGGTTCATCTCTGAGCTATACCCTTCATATTACACATAATCATCTGATACACTGTTATAGTAAAATTAGTTAGCAAAAAATACTAATGCAATGAAATTAAAAGTACTATAGAAGATAGAGAAAAAATAATACATTACACAAGTCCTATTCCCCTTCCCATTCCAGTACAACAAACCAAAATGGCATTTTCAATGTAATTATCAGATTTCATTATATTTATCACTAAGCAGAAGTACCTAAAATACTTTCAAAACTACTACCGTTTAAAAGCTACCAAGTTCAGCTAGTAGAGTAAGAGAGTGTTTTTCACTCAGAACACAAAGAAAGTGGTTATTTTCCACCTTTACGAAAAGAAATGGTCCCACTTTAGCTGCTGTCCCCCCAGGGCTGCGTTTCACTACTATTATCTGTCAGTTCTTAAGTGCTCTGGGACAAAGCCCCACAAAAAGCATTACATTCATACAGAGTACTGAGCTACGTTATTTTTTCTCTAAAGTGACCAATGAGTGGCTTTATTATTTTTTCTGAAATGGCGCCCGGGGTAAGTTCACCATATATTATTACACACACACACACACACACACACACACACACACACACAAACACACAGGAGAGGCAAATGTGTGTCTTTCACTTCAGTTTGAAAGACATGGCAGCAGGAAGTACCAGCAGGAGGGAGCTGCATTATGATTCATTGACTCTGTATTAAAAGAGTGCACTGAGCCATACAGTGTGGGAGCCAAAAAGGAAGTTGCTTTTAGATTTAGACCCTTATATAAAACACTGTCTGGATCACCACCATGCAGTGTAAACTTCATAAATCTTTATGCCTCCTAATAGTCGACTAAACTATTAATGTCTTCACAATGTTAATGAGAAGAGTCTTAGTCAACCAACTTTTCATTGGTCAAAAAAACAATCTCAAGCTCCATCCTGGCCGTTAAGCCTGTGACGACAATATCCAAGTATTGATCTCTTTTGTTGCAACGTGGATTAGCTGTCTCTACCTGGGTACTCAGACTACCGGGGGAGTGTTAGCAGGAGCTATGGATCTCCGGGAGGAGGAGGTGTTCAGGCCCGGCGTGAAGGAACCCAGCAGGGAAAGCTGCTGGGGAGCGGCACCAGAATGAGCACCAGAACAGGAGCTGAGCAAGCAGGCAACAGAACCAGGCTCAGCAGCCTCTCATTGAACACAGACCAGGACCGAACACCCCGACACCAACGGAGGCTGGTTTAACCAGAGGGAATACAGTAACGAGATCATTTACATCAGCTTAACATTCATAGCAGGTGCTATGTGTCAAATTGATGTGTTGCTCATTTAAGACATTTTAAAGAAACATTAGTGTGAAGTTATAACTAACCATTTAGTTGTGCTCTTTTATTCGCATATACATCCAACAATACAGTGACAAACACTTCTTAGTGGAAAACACACACTTAAACTAATGCTTAGACTGTCTTTGCTATCATTAGCTAATTATTCCTACTACCTTTGTTCCACACTTGTTAAAATTACTCATGCTTGCTGACTTGTTCGCTCTTATTGTCTCATATAGTTTTTGTTTAAATTATAAGATGGTAACGGGGAGGCTTTGAAGTGCCAGTATTTGCACTCACTGTGCAGATAAAAAGACAGACTCAGCCCTGTTCACCTCATCCTTTCTCCTCTCTTGACAAGTAACCTACCTTGCCTGTCTGCAAACTTTGTGCAGCTCTCTGTGAGTGTTCCTTTTAGAATAAGCTTCCTGGCAATGTTAACAATCTGTGTTTAAGTACAGACTCAGCGCCTTACGTCAGATGCATGTGATGATGAAGTGAAAACCTCTTGCTTTGGTGGGTTATGTATTGATAATGTTTAGTGAAAGAAAAGAGAACAAATTTTAGCAATGTTTCGTACCTCCTGTATTTGCCTAGTGTGCAAGGTGATCAAACATGCAATATTTTGGCATGAAAAAGTAAATCCCCTACTAGAGCCAACTAACTGAAGCCATTTAAATGAATAATCACAGCCAGCTGTTCACCACAACTGCAGATAGTAAGGATGAATACTGTACAAATCTCGAGAATCAAACAGTGACACTGACTCACAATTTTACAGCAGTGTTCTGCAATCAAACAAAGCAAAATCAATCATAGAAGAGGCAGAGGTACCCATTTCTTCACAGACAAAAGTGTTCAATAGACTTTGATGCAATACAACCACAGTCTCTGCTCTGTGTGGCCCTGCCATTAGTTGTGTGTGAAATACAACACACTCTCCAGTGGCTTTTTTGTAACATTTTGTAAGTGGGAATGACACACCCAGCCATTGTTCTCTCTCCATCACCACTTTTTTTCACCTGCACTGTTGTTCTGGCTCTTACCTTACCTACATGTGTACAGCACAGAGTAATCACTGCTCTAAGGTTTGTCAAACAGCAACTCAAGACAAAGTGTGTTTGTGAAAACCGTAGTAGACATCACAGATTGATTGTGGCATCTTCCAGTTCTCACTTAATGTCATTTGGTTTAGTTATTTTTAGTGTACAGATGGTCAGCCTGCAGGGTTTCATCCGCCCTTCACACCCCTTAACTCTGGCCCCCAAATCATTTGCTAGCAGTATGCAGTATGAACATCTGATACATCTGGCAAGTTAAAGACTTTCATTTAAGATTACTCATCCTCTCCCAGATAAAGACATTGCAGTTGAACTGCTTTTTGACCCTGACATCTGACTTGCCTGTGACCTCTCATTACAAATTGTAATGAAAGCCCTGATGCTTCAAGTAAGGTAGCAAAGTAAATGCACACATTAATGACATTTTCAGTAATTAATAAATAGCTTTTTAAAAGTAATAAGTACAGCGATATTTTTAAAGTCATAATTTTACTATCATAAAAAACCTTTTAACCATGAAAGTCACTATTGATATACATAGCCACGCCCAATAATAATGACAGTGTGCGAACTATACCATAGCTTTCAAGGGAGCTCACCTTTTGTTCCTGAGACAGACTGTGATTCTTACTGCTGAATCATTAATAGTTGCAGCATTTGTCTTATTATATTATTATCACATGTAGCCATTTTGCTACAATTACGTTTCTTGTTTGCGACCTGACCTTTCTTTTTTCCGTGAGAGGGACACTGACACTCCTGATTACGCATGGATCCATGATGGAGAAATATAGAAATTAATGGCAATGAAGCATGCTGTCTATATTTTAGAGACCCCCTAAAATATCACAAGTCATGCTTTTAGGGGAGCTGATGTCATTAAGAGGAGCTAATTCTTCTCCCTACGTCATGTTCATGTACTGCACTCAAATGCATTTAGTCAGCAGATTTTTGTAATCTGCTTAAGCAATATGGTTAGACTGAAGTATTTTGTTGAAGTATCCTTTCAACAAACAGGTTCCTTTAGGCCACAACAGATTACAATCTTAAGAAATTACACAGATTTTTTGTGTAGACCTTCCTTATAAAGCTAAAACTTTTTCCACTTAGGAAAGACAGACAACAGTCATTTTGGTTAAAGATTTCAGGCTGTTGTCCACACATCAAAACCACTTGGTAGCTATTTCCACTGTCTTCCTATTCTGTCTTGTCAATAATTGCTGTGTTTGCCAAAGAAAACCTCTTTTTGTCAGATCTCCAAAGTGGTTGCAATCCTCTGTACTCTCAGAATGTGACAGTTTTGTGCCTTCTTGTGCCCTTTTCCTCGCTTTGTTGTTGAATGCATCCAAACTACCAGAAAAGGCAGGAGACCGAGCTCTGGATGGCAGCTGAGCTTCTGTTGTTGATGGGCAGAAACCATGAGGAAACAAGTGGGAGAATGATTCCCAATAGAAATCCACAAAGCCGACACACAGCTGGTCCTTGAGGCGATCAGTCCAAGTGTCAATAGGGAAACACGAACCAGCTCTACAGTGTCTGAGGCTGTTCTCTTATCTTTCTCCTATCTTAAGTCTAGCACTTGATGCTGAATAATACATGACTTTCATGGAGCTTTGATAAGACATTCAATATTTAGGGCCACAGTATGAAATGTTATTCTGTTTATTTGTATGAGACCAACTGTATCAAATGAAACCATTACTGCTTTGGCTACGCTGGACCGAGCAAAGTAATGAAACTCTGGTACTGAATTCAGTTTTTGTTGCCCTTGGTCAAAATCCGCCAGTATGTGTGAATGTTTTAGCTTATAGTTGTATCAGTGTGTTTCATGTGTGCATAGTGGCTAAAATGCAGCAGCAAAGGATTTAAGTGACAAATCAACACATTTGCTTTGTTCTGATTCCAGTAACTGTTCAAGCAACTGAGTGACTGACAAGGTTGACCATAAAATACCACAGGCCTCCCCAGCCACCCATTACCCAGTGTGAAGCCTCTGATCCTGAGGCAGGCTCCTTAAATTCTTGCAATG